AGAAAATATCCTACTAATATCCCCCAGTTTATTACAGAGCAAATGCTGTCTCTTTATGTTCTGTCTCCATTTTGTGCAGTGAGCTTTAATCTGTGATTTGTGTAAGCCTGTATAATCAATTGAAAGTACAAAATGTTCATAAGGGAGAAAAAAAATAATTATCCAGTAGCTTCTCTCTTCTTAATTTCCAGAATCCAGCATGGCCTTTTATAGCATTATATAATTGATCTATGCATGATACATACCTCTATATATAATATATATACATATATCTATAATGTTAGTAATATTATAGAAGTTACAATTTGCTAAATAAGTTTTTTTTAACATTTACTGGCTGTTTGTTTATATTTCCAGTTCTTGTGATTCCAAGACAATAAATATTCTCAAAAATAAATTTTAAATCTTTAAATCAGTAGTTTCCTCTTCTTCCTGTGAGATACAAAATTGAATAATTTCACATTTCTCCCTAGCCCAGCTTACTCTCTATAAGGTGGCGTTAATACATGAATGGTAAAAATTGGGAGAAGCTGAAGATCTCGTTCATAATGTCACATGAATAATAGAGAAGTGCCGAAGTTTCAGTGTACTGAATTTCTAGATTTTTCTCTTACCTGCCCTAAGTAGCACCTTACATTGACTAATCTGCCAGTTACTCGTGTTTATTGTTATTACATTTGCTTATATCCTTCTCTTTTCTTTATTTAAGCTGGATTGTAGTCACATATTCCACTTACAGTGCTGTCGACGAGTTTTGGAAAACAGATGGCTTGGTCCAAGGATAACATTTGGATTTATATCTTGTCCCATTTGCAAGGTATGGAAAGAATCGGAAATTATCTGCTTTCTATTAATTTTCATCTTTGTCTTCATCTTTCATCTTTCAAAATAAACATGGCAGCATCTCTCAGTGTCCTTCTTAGTCTACTTTTTACCACCAGCCCCCATCAGTTTCTGCTCTCTTCACCCAGGTAGTACCTGAGAATAAGATCTTTCTATTATACTACATTTCAAGACATTAATTGTCCATTAAAAGCTGATTAAATTAAACTGTTGCATCAGAAAATTCATTTAGATATCATCGTGCATTGAAGGGCACGCATCACTGCTTTCAGACCCGCTGAGAGTTCAGTCCATGTGACTTGTCAGTGGGTGACTACCAAAAAGAAGAATGAGCCTGTGGTGCTTGTAGGTACTGATACCTGCCGTGAAAGAGTGAAACCTGAACTTTTTAAAGTGCTATTAGGACAGATTCTTTAGAGCTCAGGTAAAATAAGGAGAAAATTCTTGACATTTTGACACGTCCCTGCAAAGATAGGAACCAAAGCAGCAGGTTATTTTGGCAAGCTAATGATGTTTAACAAAAAACTTTCGTTTAAGAATGTACTGCCAGACTGGTGTTTAGGGTATAACATGGACTTAGCACAGTCATTGCTTAGACTGAGCAATATCCAAAAAGATGATAGGATTTTCTCTCCCTTCTCATTTGTTGCCACAAAGAAAAGTCACATTCAGGAAATGATGGATGAGAGTGATATAGAAAATACTACTTGTTCATTTCTATTATCTAACATTCTGCCCCACCCCCAAGGAACCAAAAACACACACAGAGGGATATTTGTGGCAGCAGGGCAACCCTTTATTCCCAGAACAGCTAAGGCAGCAGGAGATATATGTCATACTCAGGAATATGAAGCTAATCAAATGGAATTTTCGTGTTCTGTGCCCCACTTGCCGCCACTTTCCCTGCTCTTGGGAAACTATAGGCTTGTGAGGACTTTACAGGATTATTTTTAAATGGCATTTTATTTAGGAAATGTTTGGTTATCTCCTGTCCTAGCGCAGTGCTTGGCACTTAGGTGAATACTAAGTGTTTGTTGAATTAATAAATAAATGATTCTGTTAAAGAATGTTCATTTTTCAAAATTGCAGAACAAAATAAATCATATTGTGTTAAAAGACCTGCTTGATCCTATAAAAGAGCTCTATGAGGATGTCAGAAGAAAAGCCCTAATGAGATTGGAATATGAAGGTCTGCATAAGAGCGAAGCTATCACAACCCCTGGTGTGAGATTTTATAATGACCCCGCTGGCTATGCCATGAATAGATATGCATATTATGTCTGCTACAAATGCAGAAAGGTATGCTGTTAATCATACTACGAATTATTAAGATTACCTGTGTGATTAAGAAGTTGAATAGTGTAGTGATGTCTAATTATTCTTACGTTTTAAGTCTATAGTTAAAAATGAGAAAGTTTGGTGCTGTGCTTCAAGTAGAATTTATTTCCTTAATTTGTTTTGGGGCGCTTTTTTTTTTAACATATACAGACTATTTCCAAAACAAACATGAGGTGTTTCACTACACAAGCTGTTTCCTATCAGCAATCCCCTCTTGTTTTCCAAATCCAGTTGGCTCTGGAATAAACTTCTTTTGCTTAACTCTTTTGACCATTCCCTTCTTAAAATTCTTACCTCCTTGGCTCCCAGGACAAGACTCTCTTTGGTATCTTCCTTCCTTTCTGGTCACTTGTCTTTACCCCCCTCACAGAGTTCCGTTTTATTCATCTACTCCTTACATATTTGTTTCCCCAGCCCTCCATTCTTGCCTGATCATACCTCCTCACCTTTGGTGACCTGTATACCCATGCCTTTGCCTACCACCTGTATTGTTCCGACCCTCCAAAATTTTTGAGATTTGGATACAAATACCCAACTGTCTACCAGACATTTAGATTTCTCACAGATACTTCTGACTCTCTCAATCTCCAGTCTGTATTAACAAATGAACAAAGTCAATTCTATCTCCAGATCTCTCTTGAGTTCTTTTTTCTTTCTATTATTATATCTTTAGCAACCCTAATCATTTTCTTTGGTAATTATTAGTAGCCTTCTTACTGGGCTTCTTGTGTGGAGCCCCTAACCGCTCCATTCCGTGCTTTACACTTATAATTCCACTAGCAGATGAACATTTCTAGATCCCAGATCTGATCGTGTCACTGTTCAGCTTCTAATCCTGTGGCCCCTCCACCTCTCTAGTCTCATCTCCCAGCATGCCACCACTTGTGCCCCGTGCAACGGAACACGGAACAACTTGCAGTGCCCCAAACTGGGCCGTGTTGGCTCACTCACCCACACCTCCACGCCGTCGCCCAGGCTCTTCTGTCCATGGAATGCTCTTCTCTGCCTCCTACTCTGCATCTTACTCTCACTTGCCACCCACGCACACACACACGCTCATAGGCACGGCCAGATCTGTGCAATCACACTTCCGGATTCGGCTCCAGTTTCGCCTCCTCTGCAGCGTGCCCCGACCTCCCCACCACTGCCACGCCATTTTGACATCTCGCATACGTCCGTCTAAGCGCTCATTATTCTGCATTAACGGTGACTGGTTCACATGTCTCTGTCCCCCTTGATAAGTTCCATGAGGACGAAGACTATGTTTCTTAAGTTCTCTATCTCTAGTACTTGGCACTTATTAGACACTAAGTTAATTGGAGAATGAATAAATGAAGGAATCAATATATGAAAGATGCATAGTCTCCCGAAGTAACAGAAAGAAAATACAGATAATGAATGGAAGGCTAAGTAGATAGATGGTAGCCAGAAAGGCAGACAAATACACACACCCAAGGAAAGACCAATGGTGTACATTTGTGAAACTTGAATTGTTACAAATAATAAAATACTATTTCTTCTGTGTGTTTAATGTACTGAACCTCATAAATGAATACTGCGCTACCACACAGATGACAGTCAGATGTCCAGGAAGCCATGCAGGGAATCTAGAAAAGTAAAACAGCTGGAATAGGCCCCCAGGACAAATGAAATACTTCTGAGGCCTGCTTTAGCTGGTGGATGACCATTTATAGCCTCTTTATCAATGAAGCCTGTCTTTCATCTTGTTTTTCCAGTACAAATAGTAGATTTCTATTGACTCATCTTATTTATACCCAATTATGGATATAGTTTTTTTGTCTATGAGACATGTTATATATGCAGAATGCCCCAGTTATAATTGGTTTAATTTATTTTGTGCCCAGAGCAAATAGAGAGGAATTACCCATGATGATAACTTCATATATTCAAGTATCTGTATTAGATACTGTTGAGTTCCTACATGTAGTGCAGCTCTGTAAGTATGAGCAATGTCCTGAACAGAATATCCAAATTTGCCTTTCCTTTTTAAACATTTTTATATGATCAAAATTGATTTTTTTTTCTTTCCCATTAGCCTCAGGATTATAATTTTATACTAATATTTATTTTAGGCATTTATTTAGAATAGTAGAAGGGAATATGTTATTTCATATTTCAAAAAGAGAAAAACTATTCAAACTTGGCCCTGGAAAATCATAGCTTCTCTTTACTACTTAATATCCTATTCTTGATATTTATTTGGAATATTATACATTCTTTTGTTATTTTGCTTTGACAGTACAATGTCTGAACTTTCTACTGTAAGTATGAATGCATTCCAGAACTGAAGTAGCTTTATTTCATACCCTGATCTATTTCTTACAGGCAGCAATATGGGTATCCACTTGGCATTACAAGGGAATGTCAATAGACAATAGTATTTCCTGAGACCTCTCGATCTCACTTCCATTGCACCCACACTGAACCTCCCATGGCAGAGTTTTCTGTTTCCTGCTGTGATCTGAATGCATTCCCTCCTTAGGCATATTTCGGTGGTGAAGCTCGTTGCGATGCTGAGGCTGGACAGGGAGATGATTATGATCCCAGAGAGCTCATTTGCGGTGCCTGTTCTGATGTGTCCAGGGCTCAGGTGGGCAGAACATTTTATTAGAAAGGACAGTTTAGAAATGTTAAGCTTCTGTGTTTTTAAAATAATAATATAACGAATATGATGGGGATAGTATAGTACGTTTTTTTCCCCAGTGCTTTCTGATGTTTGTAGGGCAGTGTATAATTTTCCAGATCATTTTGTATATATTATTTCTTTTGGATGGTATCTGCATTTTATAATTTTGTCTCCCATAAGATAATCACCATATTTCAACAAGTAATAAATTTACTTACTTCATTTTCTTAAACCTGCAGTCACACTTTTAGGTTTTCCCGTCTTCAGTGAAATCTTAATAATACATCTATGAGATTGAGAGATAGAAGAAATATTATTAATTTTTCAATTTGGCTGACCAAGAAACATTCACAAGGAAATTAAATGGCTAGCTTATTAAATAATATTGGTTATTATGGAGCTGGGATTTAAATTTGGGGCTTCGTCCAAACCTTTTGGGCCAAGCCACACATTTATTCAATATTTTTATGTGTGTATCATCAGTTTTTCAGTCAGTTTTGAGAGCTGTGTGTACTCTCAAAATATGAATCACTGAGTTAAGTGTATGGTTTTCTTAGGTATCGTTGAAATAGACTCGCCATAATCTTGTATTTATTTTCTTTTGCTGTAGATGTGTCCGAAACATGGCACAGACTTTTTGGAATATAAATGTCGCTACTGCTGTTCAGTGGCAGTCTTTTTCTGTTTTGGAACAACACATTTTTGTAATGCTTGTCATGATGATTTTCAGAGAATGACTAGCATTCCTAAGGAAGAACTACCACACTGTCCTGCAGGTATGCTTTTAATATTCATAAATATGGTTATAATGTATATGGTATCTCGTTTTGTTTAATGATCACATGAGAACACTTTGTTTCAAGTGGCAGAAACCCAGTTCAAACTATCCTAAAGAAACAAAGGGAATTCCTCGGCCCTTGTAAGCGTCTGACTTTCTGAGTGGAGTAAAAAGTAAGATGACCATCATGAACGAGGGGCTCAAAGCTGTAAGAAGCAATTGTGTGGGGACTGAGAAGGAAGTCAGCTAAGGATTAGTAGAAGGATAGCTGCTCAGCACTAAAGGGCCCTGAGAAGTTTGAAATTATAAATTGATAATAGAACCATTTAAAAGGATTTCGTGATTTTTTTTTTTTTTTTTTTTTTTGGTCACACATCTGCCTTTATTGTGAGCAGCTATGATATTTTTTAAGAAGCCTGGAACCAGCACCATAAAATGGACAAGTGATTTGATCTAGAATGGCTGGGAATGGGCGGCATAGTGAGCATCAGAAAGCCAAGGGAATTAAAGAAGCCACTGAGAATACAGGAGAGATGATTGTCTATGGAGGTCAGGCTGAGAAAAAGTGAATATAAAACCAAAAAGAAACAGAAAACTGGAAGAGGTTAGGAGGCTGGTGATCACCGTGGGGTGGCATACCAGGCTTAACAGAAGTGAGAAGAGTGGAAGGGGAGGTAAATGTGACCACAGAAGAGACAGATCTGAAACGAGTGGAAATACACGCAAGAGCACATACACCACAGTGTACAACGTTGTTAAAGCTGGGAAACACACAGTCTCATCCATTGCTTACCAGAGTGCAAATGGCAGAACCCTGTGGTGCCTCTCAAAATTGCCAATATACCTACCCTTCAACGATCCCACTTCCGGGGATATACCCACATATGTGAGAAAAATAAAAAAGAGCAGATATGAAGGTTATTCATTGCATCATTGTTTATAATAATACAAGTTTGTAAACAATGCAAGCATCCAGTAAGAGGTTGGTTAAACACTCAGTACTACACACTATTAAAAAGGAAGGTGACTGAGGATGGAGTTTCTGTGTACTAATATGGAAAGATCTATAGCAGATACTGTTAAATGAAAAATCAAGTTACTGAACAGTGTGTGTAGTATGCCACCTTTTGTAAGAAAGGGGGAAATGAGAATATATACTCATATGCATTTAAAAAACCACTGGGGAGATTGACAAGAAACTAATAAAACTGATTAACTATTGGGGAAAACAGGGAAAAATGGGATAAAAATGGGGGGAAGGTGACTTCTTTTTGTATGTAATTTTTTTTAACATTTTGATTTTTAAACCGTGTAAAGTATATTATCTATTCAAAAACAAGGATACTAAGATGCATAGGTTTTTTTTTTTTAAGTACGGCTACTCTTTTCTATTTGCTCATCTCAAGTAAAATTTGTTATACTATTCTTCCTCCACTTCCTTTACAGTAGAAGTACTTTAGGACTTTTCAAGAAGCTTTAAAGAAGCAAGATGAGAATAACGTGAGGCTAGAGTGTTTAGGAAGATGGCCAGAATAGAGGCGTGAGCCAGGACGAGCAGGAGGAGGGTGGTGAGCTGGAGGCCAGCGAAGGAAGGGAGCGAAAAGGGGGGCGGTGTTGTATGGATGAGGACAAGAGTCCAGATTAAGAAGCTGAAGGAGATAATCCTTCTGGCCCGGGATAGGGACCCTATCCCTTCCTGCTGCATGTATGTGGTACGTTGAATTTTTTATAGTGAATGTTTTTGTTTTTGTGGTTAGAAGAAAATAATTTTTTAATTTTATATTTGCATAACTACAGTCACATTATTTCCCTAAGTAACTTACAGGTGATTAATATTTACATTAGGTTTGTATGTGTGTGTGTGTTTTAATTATAGTTTTTTGCCTCCTTCAAAATTTATACAGGTCCCAAAGGCAAACAATTAGAAGGAACTGAATGTCCTCTCCATGTTGTGCATCCACCCACTGGAGAAGAGTTTGCCCTGGGTTGTGGAGTGTGCAGAAATGCTCACACTTTTTAGAACACTCAGATTCCTTTGTCTACAGAGAGAAAAGTTACCTTCATCCCCCCAGGCGGATGTGGTGAAGTTTAAACTCTGCTCAGGATAAAGACGGGACCATTTTTACATCCATGAAAATGAACCATTCACAGTGCAAGAAGGATGCCAAATACCATGTACATAATTCTTGCTATGGAAAGTTTCCCTATTATTTCAGTTTATCTTCTTTTGAACCAAGACATCAAACTTGTGAGGTGTTTGCATGTGGCCATTATCGTCATTGGCCTGTGAAGCATTGGACATTTATAGATAATTGATATCAAAGAATTGCCATGCCCATGGACTAAGAATGATGCTGGCTTTCAAGCAAAAGAGAAAAATTATCATTGTTTATTGTATACTGCCTTTTTGTAATCCTGTACAATTGCATCACGGGTGGGGATAAAAAGAGGAATATTCTGGTTTATTTCCTAGACTGTTATTTAAAAAAAAAAAAATGTGTTAGGACGGCATATAAATGTAATAAGTATCACACTGTATATAAACATATCAATGTTTGTCCTGTATAAGAATTACTAAATTACAAATGCAGTTTCATTTAAACTTCTAGGTTAAGTTTGAGCCTGAAATTTTAATGAAGTGCAATACTGAGTGTGCCTCATTATCTTGCAGCTGTAAACATATTGGAATGTACATGTCAATAAACCACTGTACATTTTTATACAGTGATAAAGTCTAACAAGTGTGTAAGGTGTTGGCTTGAGAAACAAAATTTAAATACCTAAGGTCTAAAACTCCATCCAGTTTTCCTTGGAAAGAAATTTACTAACATAGCACAATCATAACCTTCAAAACTGTTTGTTAGGGAAAATAGGAGTAATGAGGTACAATGTTGGAATCTTAACACTGGAGAGATGGATAGATAGGTATTCATAAACAGACATATGCGAAAGATAGAAGAAAATATTTAGGAAATTCAACAACCTCCACCTTATTAACCAGCTCCTTTTTCAACGTGTATAACAATCAACAGAATCACTAGTCTTTTCTTTATCTATTATAGACTGTGTGTTTTAGTAGATGTTTTTTACAGTTAACTCATGAAATTGACGCACTGTTGACTTACGATGAGTCATAAATCAGATTATATTTATTTCATGAGGCAGACTGATCAAAAGTTCTGATCAGTTTTGTTCTAAATTCCCACTGTTGAAAATAGATCATTTGTCAATAACCATTATTTATTTATTTATTTTTTTGGTACGCGGGCCTCTCACTGTTGTGGCCTCTCCCGTTGCGGAGCACAGGCTCCAGACGTGCAGGCTCAGCAGCCATGGCTCACGAGCCCAGCCGCTCCGCGGCATGGGGGATCTCCCCGGACCAGGGCACGAACCCGTGTCCCCTGCATCGGCAGGCGGACTCTCAACCACTGCGCCACCAGGGAAGCCCCAATAACCATTATTTTAATGACTTTGTTAAGCATTTGTGAGAATTTTAAAATAATCTTTGCCTTGAAGGAACTTAAAATATAAAGAAAAGATCTAGCCTGACCACAGGTAACTATTTACAGAATCTTCTAATAAATTGCATAAAAATGTCCACACCAAATGCTTCAGGGTTTAGGAAAGATGGTTATTAGTGTTTTTTTTGTTTTGGTTATTGTTGTTGGGAGGGGGGCGGTTAGCTAAGAGGCCCCTTAAGCTTCCCCTTGAAAAATAAGTAGCATTTCAAGCGTGGAGATGTAGAGAAAGGCAGGAGGAAAAAGGTATGTGTGTAGAAAATTCTAGAATGTGATAGAACAGTGTGAATAGTCCAACTTTCCTTGTGTTGGACAGCTTACTGCAAAAAAACAAAAAAATCTGAAGATCACAAAGACTGATCTCTTCATGATATAATTTGTGGATCCACTGTATGTACAGGCGCGGGGCCTTCCTGAGCAAGAAAGGACTTTGAAACAGTACAGAGGTCCCTCTTCATCTAAATAAGATACATCTGAACGATCACTGAAAAAGTAATAACACTTTTCTTTTAAAATCTCTCAGGAGAAGGACATTATGCAAACTTCCTTCGTTATTAGTGACAATGCCCCAGAATTACAAGCAATTTTTAACTGCCCAATGGATTCAAAAGCCAGGAGAGTCATTTGTTGTTACTGAGGGCACTTCTGGGTGGTCCCAAGTCAAGCTGAAAGGGTTGCAGGCAGGGCTAGTTCAATTTCAACCTCCAGAATACTTTGGATTTATGATTCGGGAAGAAACAGAAAAGGGTCCTAAAGGCACTCGCGTGTTTATATCCTCCCCCCCGCCCCCCGAACACACACACATTTTCTGACAAAGGGCTAGCTGGGATCCTCTACCCATGTTCAAAAGAGGTTCCAGAACCTTCAGGGCAACACAGTTGTTTTCTTCAAAACGATCATTCTACCATGAGGATGTTGGGCAACAGGCATCAGGAAGGGATGGCAACACTGCTCCCAGACAACCCCTCAGCCCCAGCTTCTACCTCTCAG